GGAGGAAGATGGGACATGGCAGAGGGTGGGGAATTGGGAATCAGGGATGGCAAGACAAAGGGCAAGGTATGCAGGATGTAAGAATTGGAAAATTATTTGCTGAGAACATGTATGTTGATGTGCTTGATTGAGCCAATGCACAGTGTATTTTGGATGGAAAATTCATTTGTGTGTTGTGATGGTGTATAGTGAATTAATGTAGAAAATGAATAAATTTAAAATTAAAAAAAGGAAAAAAAGAATTACTCTGATGTACATTTTTTAAGAATTACTTTTTTAAAGAATTATTTATTTATTTTATTTAGTATTAATATTATTTTTAAATTTTGCTATAGGGCACATGTGCTCACTAAAGAGAGAGAAAAAGAGAGAGAAAGCGAGCTGCCAAGGCCAGGACTTGAATCATAGACATTCACGTGGGAGTCCAGAGCCCCAACCACCATGTCACCTTCTGTCCCTATACATACATTTTAAATGAATGCATATTGGGAAAAGGGAAAAAAGCAGACCATAGAAATCTTAAAATTGTGTTCACAGAGAATGTAATTCCTTGGCAAGTTTTAAAAGAATGGTTATTTCCTAGAATCAAATCCATACTAAAGGAAAACCCAGTGGTCACCATCGAGCATCTCCACGTATGTGGAGGAATTTGCCTCACTTGCAGGGACAGAGATGCCAGTGACCAGCTGAGTTCAGGGCACCCCAACTCTCCAGTAGCTTCTCTCCTCCTTCATCTATCAAGTGTCTGCTCCTTGAACAGAAGAGTGCTTCGTTTTTTTACCTCTATTTGGCCAGGACCTGCTACTGTGCCACACCTGGCAGGTATGCAATTTTTTTCATGAGTAAATAGCTGAATAAATTAATATGCACAATGCACAAGTTCTCTAGAGTCGAGGACATGCAATCGCCCAGGCAATGACCTTGACACCTGGGTCCTCACAGCACACACTCGTGTCTCGTGGGCCCTAAGCTGAACCTCTCTGTGTGCACATGGGAGGCCACGGGTCTTTACCAGCAGAGACTGGACTGCCATGCGACAGGCTGGAGATCAGCAGCTGAGCGGTTACTCTCTATGCCATGACTATGACCGAACTAAACAACATAGCGCATAGACTAATTCACAATGGAGGGAAATCGATTTCTGTTTTGGCTTGTTTTAGAGAGAGAGATGTTTGCTATAGGGTGTGTGCATTTGCTATTGAGACAGAAACAGAGAGACAGAAAGCAAGAAATCACCTCCCCCCTCAGAGGGTATGGCCAAGTGCAATCCCTTCTCCATTCTCCTCTCAGGATTCTGGGCATGCATGCACACGTGCCTGGCCTGAGGTTTTTTGTTTGTTTGTTTGTTTGTTTGTTTTTTGAGAGGTTTTCACTATAGGGCGCGTGCGCTCGCCAGACAGACAGAGAGAGACATAGAGACGGAAAGCGAGAAATCACCCCCCAAGGGGGATGGTCACCCTGCAATCCCTTCTCCTCCATTCTCCTCTCGGGATCTTGGGCACACACGCACACGCACCCACAGTGAGTTTTAAGCCACCGGGTCCAGGACGCGAACCGTGGTCAACTACGTGGGAGTCCAGCGACATAGCCATTATGCTAACTGCTGGTTCCCATCCTGGCGTGAGTTTTAAGCTGCCAGTTCTGGGGCTTGAGCCACAGTCAACTACATGGGAGTCCAGTGACGTAACCACTATGCAATCTCCTGATCCCAATTTCTGTTTTGTTTGTTTGATTAAGTTCATGTATTCCTTTCTTCCATGAGCTGAGGTGGGGAGCAAAGGGGAGCAGAGAGAGAGAGAGACACCTTGAGCAGTGTCTTCACATCACGGCCCACCCCAGTCTCAGCCAGCAGGGGTGTTTGGGGCATGTGTAAGCCCAGCATGTTCAGAGAGGTCTCCAGACAAGAACTCAGAACATTCTAGTACGAGTAGAAGCATCGTGTTATTACTGGCTCCTTACTATTTCTACTTTTAATGCATTTTGTTTTCACATTCATAACAACTGTTCCAAATAGAAAGGGACAATTTAATCACTCTCATCACAAAATTTTGCAAACTAAGGATCAGAGTTTAAGTGATTCACGTGTGACCATATAGTTAAGAAATGACAGAGATAAACTTGTAACCTGATTTTCCTATTTTCATTATACAAGAGAATTCAAAAAATTGTGGAAAAGTGGAATTAAAGTCCAAATTTATCTTGGTGCAATAAGCAGTGTAATCTATGCATGGTTTTTTCATGACACTCGGTTTTCATGAGCTTTTTCAAGACCTCTTGTATTTGCATCTTATTAGTATAATGTATAAGAGCTCACAGTTCGTACACATCACTTCTTTTGATCTTAAATGATATAGACGAGTAGGAGGACCAGGTATTATTGATGTCCTACATATGAAGGCCTTGACCCTCAGCCAAGTTGAGAGTAACAACCAAGCTCACAGAACCAGCAGAGAGCTTGGCAAGTCTTTGAGAAACAGAACAGGAACCTGTTTTCTCAGTTCTAATCCAGTTTTCTTTTCATGGCAGTATATTTATTACAGAAGGCAACAATATTAGATATTCCAAAGAAAGAGAATTACTAGTCCCAAGGAGAGAAGTTCTGCAGCTCTGGTTTTGAGGCAATGATGTGGCCCCAGCAGCTGGGAGAAGGCCTGATGGATAGCCCAGCTGCAATGAAAAGGACAAGAGGGAGCCTGGCTCTGCAGAAGGATGGACTAAGTTGGGACCAGCAGTTGGCATAATGGCTATGTCGCTGGACTCCCATGTATTTCTCCTCAGTTTAAGTCCCAGACCTGGTGGCTTAAACTCACACTGGGCGTGGGTGCATGTGTGTCCAAGATCCCGAGAAGAGAATGGGATCAACCCCTTGGGGGAGGGTGTTGATTTCTGGCTTTCTGTCTCTCTGTCTTTCTGGTGAGCGCACGTGTCCTATAACAAAAACCTCTCCATAAAAAAAAAAAAAAAAAAAAAAAAAGAAGAAGGCTGGACTACGTGACAGCACACCTGTTGCATGGAAACAGCAAACTGTCATCCTCCTCTTCAGACTTAACGATGAGTCTCTCAAGAAACCATCCATTGCCTGTGCAAATTGACAAAGGAGATGAACTCTTTAGTGTGCATATACCAGCACTGTGACTTCATTCGTGACTCTTTAAATGTTTCTCTTTTTATTTTTTTTTTAAAGTAAGCTTATCCGGCAACTTGAATAAAACAATACACACATCCAAATTACACCAGTGGAGAAATGAAAGCAGCAGTGAACGATCTACTCAGAGCAGGAGAAGCAGAGGAAAGGGAGCATTCCCTATTAGGGACACAAACTATCTATACAATTTTTAAAAAATTACTTAAAAGCACATGAGGACATAGAAGCATGGAAAATGGTTATGGATACTGGATACAGTGTGGGAGGAGGCTGGGAGAAGGGGGAGAATGTGAGGAAAGATATTAAGGATAAAAATAGAGCAGCAAGACATTTACCAGACACAGAAATGGATTATTGTCTGTTGATGGTAACGTGTACAATATCCTCAGTGGGACTGGTGTGACGTGTATTCATGTTGGGAGAATTCACTTTACAAGCTAAGTGATGTATAGTGATTGAAGGTATAAAAGAAAATTAAAATAAATATTTAAAAGCACATGAACCAAGAATAAAGAGAGAAGTACATTTATATAAATGTGTTTCAGTTATATCAAGTTATGGAAGATTGATACATTTAAATGATAGTGGAAAATAATAATCATTCTTAATGGTGAGTATTTAGAAGTTATCACTGATTACTTTTCAATGCCATTAGAAAAATAAAAAGGAGGGCCAACCTGTGCCCTAGTGGGTAAGGTGACTAAGTCCCGCGTGGCAGACTGTTCAGTTCAATTTCCAGACTCACTCAATTGAAAAACACGAATGGACATATGGGTGTGCTCAAAATCCTGAAAGGACAGAGATGGAGGAGAGGGGATTGCTGTGTGAATGTGCCCCATGGAGGGTGCTTCTCGGCCTGCCTTCTCTCTCTCTCTGTCTGTCTCTTTCCAGTGAGTGCATGTACCCTCTGGTAAATTTAACAGAAAAAAGAAAGAAGCAGATAAAGTAAGAAAGAGGAAAGCAGGGAGGGAAAGAAAGAGGAAGAAGGGAGAAAACAAAGCAGCAGGAAAGAAGAAAGAAAAATAATAATTTCTGGAAAAAAAGAAATTGAACTGCCATTACTCACAGGTGATATGACTTACTAAATTAAAAAATCGAAGAAAGTACTGAAATAGTGAAATAAGAAATGAAAATAACAACTAACTATATAAAACCCAGTGCATTTCTAGTGATGAAGAAGGAAAAAATTTAAAAAGTTAATAGAGGTGGCAATGTTGAGTCGCTATAAAAATGTAAGACTCTGAAAGTGAATCTAAAAACAGATGCAGCGTAATTTATAGAAAAATTATCTAAATTTAAGGAATGACATCAAAGAAGGCCTGAATGAACGGAGATCTATTCTGGATTCAGCAGGGAGAAACAGAGCTGTCATTTTCTCAGGCAGCAGTAAAACTTCAGTGTAGTTAAACCAAGTTCATACAGCGTTTCAGCAGAAAGCCAGCACGCTGATGGTAAAGTACATGTGGGTGAGAAAGCTCCACGAACATAACGGGCACTTCTGGATCAGGTAAGACAGGAGGTTCACCCAACAGCGACAGAGCAAAATCTGTTGTAAATCTGCACAAATTAAAGCCATGCGGAGCCAGTGCTGGCTAGGTGAGGTGAACATGGAAGAGAAAAGAGAATTCAGAATTGACCTGCCCCATTTATCCACCTTGCTGCAGCTGGGCCTTCTCTGCCTGGTAGTACAGAACCATGAGAGGATGGCCAGCTGACACCATGCCGAGCGATCACGGTAGTCAGGTGGGAAATGATGACGCTTGATGATCTTTAAACGTATTTATCAAAACATCCAAAATGGTCCAGCTTGGTGTACAGCTGGTAGCAAAATGAGCTACAGAGCTGGAGACCACATGGTCAGCTAGCTGCAGGTCTGGATCCCGGCGGGGGTAGGGCTGAAAACACACCCGGTATGCAAGCACGGCCAGGATCCTGACGGACAGGAGGGCTAAGGAAGGGGGATTGTGGAGTGATGACACTCTGTTAAGGGTTCTCCCTCTCTCTCTCTCTCACCCTCCCTCTCTACTACGAATAAAATAAATGAACATAAAAATATCAAAAGCCCTGAGACCAGCATATGATGTTGTGGTTGAGACACTGGGCACGTGTGTGTGTGTGTGTGTGTGTGTGTGCCCAAAATCCCAGAGGAGAATGGATGGAAAGGGACCGCAGCATGGCCATTCCCCGCAGGGGATGATTTCTCAGTTTTTCTCTCTCTCTCTGTCTCTGTCTCTCTCCAGCAAGTGCATGCACCCTATGGCAAAAATCCGGGAATGAAAAAAAAAAAGGAAAAAAAAACATTAATATTTAGTGCAATACAATTTAAAACATTATATACTGAAAATTTAAAAAAATATATTTTCTTGAAAAAAAGAATCCTAAATGGTGCTAGCCCTCTTTTTCTCATTATACAATTTGTCAAACAGAGCAAACATCTTTTCTTAGGTCTTAGCAAGTTGTCAAACTCCCTTCTATATTTAGATTGGCTTCCAACATTTTACCCTTTGTGCCTTCAGCGTCAGAGCGTATTCCTGAGAGTTCTTTTACTGTGAAGTTTTCACACTTCCATCTTGGCACGACCACTTTCCTTATTGGTGGGGATCAATGCTCGTCACCAAGTCCCTCTAGCGACATATATGAGGTCTCTCAAACAGCAGCAGTGTCAACATTCCCATAATTGTACACTTCTTCCATAATTCCCTTCACATTAGACTGGAATGTCACTTTCAACATTATTGCTTCCTTTTTTTTGATGTGTGTACAGTCTTTGAATTATACATTGTATAATTATAATGTATTCATCACTGGAAAACAAGGAGGCAACACACCTGCCTGCTTTGCTGTCTGCGCATGAACTTAGTAACAGATTCACAATGACCCCATCACCAGCAGATAGACTGAAAGGAATGAGGGGGTTGGCCATGTCAGTAGGTGCATCTGTTACTCAGGTGGTGACCTGCGGACTGACCTGCGGACTAAGAAGCTGACGACATCTGTACTTTATGCAATTGCAATTAATGTTGCAGCGTAACTTAAATTTGAACCATGTTGTTGGGGGCGAGTGTGTCATTTAACTAAGTCATGTAGCTGAATGTGTCTTTACCCAAGCCCGCAAAGCAAGGATGGCATGTATGTGACACGACTGACTTTGTAGAGCAAACAGGTAGGGATGGGGTGGTTGAGAAGCAGTGGTGCTACACTGGTTATCCGTGTGGGGAAAAAAATGGAAGTGATTCCATACTCAAATCATACAGAAAAATTTATTTCAGATTGAATGAATATTGAAATCCTAAGAACAAGATTTAAAATATATGTTCATACATGTATATAAGGATTTCTGTCTACCTACCTACCTGTCTGGAATACACTACAGATAGAGACTTTCTCAAACAAGACACAAAATATGTGATCATTAGAAAAACATGCTGCTAAATTCAACTACATTAAAATTAAGAGTTCAGTCATTGGCCCAGCCATGGTGTAGTGGTTAAGGCTGTCAGACTCTGCATAACTGACAGCACAGTTCAAGTTCCAGATCTGGTGACTTGAAATATATGCCAGGTCTGTGTGCGTGCGCGTGTGTGTGTGTGTCTGTGTGCGCACACACACACACGCTTGCACACATGCCCAAAATCCTGAGAGGAGAATGGAGGAAAAGGATTGTAATGTGGCCATCCCTGAGGGGTAGGGGGTGCTTTCCCAGTTTCACTCTCTTTCTCTGGCAAGCATGTGCACCCTAGGGCAAAAATTAAAAATAAAAACATAAAGGAATTTAGTTATCAAAATGCACACATGGGACGGCAGGTGGCGTGATGGCTAAGGTGCTGGACTCCTACATGACCGACTCCACAGTTCAAGTTCCAGACCCAGCATCTTGAAAACTACACCGGTGGTGTGTGCGTGTGCGTGCGTGTGTGTGTGTGTGTGTGTGTGTGTGTGTGTCTTTGCATACCCAAAATTCCAAAAGAAGAATGGAGAAAAAGGAATTGCAGTGTGATCATCTTCCCTGGGGGCGGCATGGGAGCGGTGTGATTTCTCAGTTTCCCTCTCTCTCTGTCTCTGTCTCTGTTTCTTTCCAGCATGTGCATGCACCCTGTGGCAAAAATCTAAAAAAAGAAAACAAATACACCACAAACTAGAGAAGAGACAGTGGCACCTCTGGTAGCTGCTCAGTATCTTTCAAGCTCCTTGCAGTGTAAGAACCCACAATTCCCAGATGTCTTTGCAGCTATGTATGAACGACGTGACTAATGTCTCAGTGACGCAACGGTACTAGAAGCCATGCGTGCAGTTTCTGTCTCACTGGCTGGAAAGACATTGTTGCCTGGGACATCCCCTCTTTTCCGTGTGCTTTGACCAACTCATGCAAAAGAGCACGAGACTTTAGTGACAGGAGAATAACCGAAGGGAAGGACCCTGGGTCTGTGACGGCTGGGCAGAGACACCTGGCCTGCCTGTTTCAGTTATGAGTGTGAAATAAGCTCCTAGCTTTTCTGTGTTAAGTTTATTTATTTTGTTCATAGTAGAGAGTGCCTGTTCATGCACTAGAGCAAGAGACAGAGAAAACCCCGAGCAGGGTCTTAGCATGCCTGATCCCCTTGTCAGGGTCGTGGGCATGTGCATGTCCTCCACGCTTTCAGACCCCCCGGGGACTATGACACCGTCAGCCATGTGGCCTCCAGCACTGCAGTTCGGTCGGCTACGGACTCATCTACCAGGCTGGGCCAGTTTTCATCTTTTTGCAGCTTCCTTTAACCATTTTTTCATTAGAATTCTCTTGCCTTTACCCTAAATATAGACAAGAACACATATTTCCACAGAAGGGGAAATTCGGTGACAATAAAAAGATAAAAGAATGTTCACCCTTCCTGGATCATCATAATGCCAGTTCAGGCTGCAGTGGGATACCAGTTTATACCCACTTCATAAAGGTAAAAATTGAAGCATTCCAGGTGTTGGTGAAAAAATAACGAAACAGAGGGGCCCACAAGTGGCATGGTGGTTACGGCTCTGGACAAACAGTGAGCCAACTTCAAGTCCCAGACCTGGAGGCTTGCTTTCCTGCTTTCCCTGTCTCTCTCTGTCTCTCTCTGTCTCAAATTAAATAAATGATGATGATAATAAATGAAATAAAGGAATTCTTAAAAAAAATTCTTAGGCACTGCTGATAGCAGTCAAGCTTAGTACAATCACCTGCTAAACGAGTGGTTTACTGTATTCAGCTGAATAATATCGTGTCCTTTGACCTCGCTATCGACTGGGAGGGTCTCGCCCCAGAGCAGCATTTCTCAGCCTCAGCGCTAAGGACAGCTGGATGATGCAGTGGGACTGTCCCGTGTGCCGTAGGACACGTAGCAGCATCTGGGTCTCTATGCACTAGTGCTGGCAGCCTACCCTGCCAGTTTCAACAATCCACAAAGTCCCCAGGCATTGCCAAATGTCCTGAGAGAGAAGAGAGGGCACATGTGTCCCCAGCTGGGAAACACCCCCCAGAGGAGCTCTTGCTTCTCCGCACCCGGGGCCATGGTGAGGACATTCATTTCATTCACTTCAGTTTGTGACACTCGAAGTAGAAATGCCACTAACAGGAGGTGGGTAACTGATTATCTGTAATAATGCAATAGACCCTCACACGGTGGTGAGAATAAATGATCCATAGCATTACATGTGAACATGTGAGAGTCGGTGACTCTTAGAAATGACCTTGAATAAAAAAAATACCAAGTCACAAACAACTTCACACGGTGCAAACACTATCCAAGTATTTTCAAGGATGCCTACTTAATCAGTAGATTTTTGTTGTTATTTTTTGGGCTTTAGGGTTTTTTTGTTTGTTTGTTTCTGTTTTTCACCAAGTGGGAAAAATCAAATGATAAACAAAAAAATCAGTAAGAATGCTTTGGGGGAGAGGTTAGGGGAGACAAATTCAGATAGAATCACCGGTATTGGTAATGTCCAGCCTTAGTTATCAGACTTTAGCCTAGTGGTTAGGAGGTCCCATTCCACGTGCCAGTTGTGGTTTGAATCTCCGCCTCAGCAGCTTGAAAAGCACAGTGGGTGTGTGTGTTTGTGTGCCCCAAATCCTGACAAGAGAGAAATGGAGGAGAAGGGATCGTGGAGTGACCACGCCCCTTTGGAGGGTAGTGCCCCTCCCCGTGTCTCTCTCTCTGCCAAGTGCATGCACTCCTCTAGCAACTAAAAAACAAATGAAGGGGACCAGCACAGGGCGTAATGGTTACATCGCTTGGCTCCCCCGGAGTGGACCGCACTGTGAGTCCCAGACCGGTGGCTTAAAAGCTCATGTCGGGCACACGAGGGCATGCGCCCAAGATCCCTAGAGGAGAATCCAGGAGAAGGGATTGCAGAGTGGCCTTTCCCCCGGGGGGTGATTTCTCACTTTCTGACGCTCTGGCAAGTGCATGTGCCCTATAGCAAAAATCTCTCTTAATAAATAAATAAATACAAATAAGAAGAATACAGAGTTGAGTGTAAATTTAAATTTGATAGCTCCATGGGAGATAGTAAAAATGACAGTAAGAAAGTAGAATAGACAGGACTTGGTTAACAGCTGTGCAGAGGTGGAGACGGAGGGGCGGGGCATGAAGGATGACTTCTGGGCGGCCAGTGGTGCAGTCTTGTGGGGCAGAGCCACATGGGACACTCCGGGTTCGTGTCCAGAGTCCCTGAGTGTGCTGGCGAATGCCTGCCCACCACCTGGGGCCAGCAGGCCCCTTGAGGGCTTTCTCTCTCTCCTGTTCATGTAAGAAACAAATGATTAAACTGTAAAACAAGAATGATTCCAAGTTTCTGATTTACTGGAGTATATGAGCTAAGCAGACTAACACACACACACATGCACACACACATAATTTTGTATTCTTTCTCAGTAAACGTTCTTCATAACAGTGTGAGTGTGCTTTTGTAAGTAATACGATATGCCTAGCCTGACAAAACGTCACTGAAGTGTAATTTCCTAGGAGAAATTACTTTCTCATCTCAATTGTGCATGATCGTAGATCTATCTTTCACCTGCCTGTTATACTATTTTTAATACATTCACAAAACAGTCTTCTTACCAAGAATCCAAATCTTACCTGGACCTGTCCCATCATGACTAATCAGAACTTTCTTCAATTTTCCAAGAGACACAGCCTTGATAGAGAAAATATCAACCTGTACAATAAAGAAAAATATGTGACCATTGAGACATTTCCTTTCTCATGGAAAAAAAAATAGCATTACTACTACTCCTGTACTGAGGTATATATTAGTGTATTGCCCTCTAGGAACACCTCGCTGCACTGTTACTACTGCTGTTATAAAAATCACCACTTCCTAGTGGGTCGTCAGAAAAGTCGTGATGCATTTTGCATAGAAAAATATAACATGACTTTTTCTGACGACCCAATATTTTATGTGCAAATTTCTACATTATGCTTTGTGAGAGACACACAATATGTAGCACATAATTCTTTTGTTAATTTGCTGTGGGTATGAGTGCTCACTGGAAACAAGAGGGGGAGAGAGGGAGTAAGAAAGCACCTCTCCAGAGGGGATCCCATGCTGCAGTCCCTCCATTCTCCTCCAGAGATTTTGGGGCACATATGCACTCACACCTGGCATGGTCCTCAAGTTTCCAGGTCCAGGACCTGAACTGCACAGTTAGCCATGTGAAATCCAGCCCCCTCAACCACTGCGCCCCCTGGTCAGTCCATAGCATAGCATTCTTGCTCTCCTCAGTCATGTGAAATAGTAAAAAGATGTAAAGCTCAATCAGGAATTCTATTTAAGACAGCGTGTTACCGTGTCGTGAGCCTCCTGCGTAGCTGACACAAGACCACACCCACCTCTTTTCTGAGGCAGTTTCTCTGTTTCCTGGACCAGCCTCAAGCTCACAATCCTCCCACCTCAGCCCACAAGTCACTGGGAACACAGAGGCATGTCACCCTGCCCGGCCTTTGGGTTGGACTGGGAAGCGAACCTGGGCCTTTCATTGGTCCAAGCCAAAGAACTCGGCATCTTAGCAGTGCGCATCAGCATGGCTGAGCCGTGGCATTTATTTTTAATCAACTACTAGTGGTAATTACAGGTTGTGTCTTCCTTACTATATGCCAACTCCTTTACTTGTTTTTTATATATTAACTCATTTCGTCCAGAACACCCCCCAAGTAAGTTCTACTCCCTTTCTCATCTCACAGGGGAGAGACTAAAGCACACAGAGATCTCACTTGCCCCAGATCAGCACCTCGTCAGTGATGGGACCAGAACTCAGATGTGGGGAGGTGCCTCCCCAAAGCCTACTTTCCACACTGTCTTTCCATCTCTCGGCATCTTTTGTCTTTGAAATAAATTGTGCATATGTTTGTCTTTTAAATAAATTGTGCATTTGTCTGTATATGCAACATGGGACTTTGAAAATGAACTATGAAATAGATACAAACGCACACTCCTCCAACATATCCATGGGAGCAACAGAATGCTGCTGACACCCCAACACCTCGCCTGCCCTCCCCAGGTGTATGTGTCTTTCTGTGAGTTTGCACACATTTCTATTAGGAAAACAGTCGGGTTATAGGGCGCCCCTATGTTCAGCTTTGGTAGATAAAACCAGGTTCTCACCTGTACTTCCTTTCTGGAGCCTCAGATTCTCAAGCCCTACTTTCTGGGTAGCTCTCCAGTGCCCATAAACTAATGTAAAGGCCTTCTCCATGGTGCAGCGTGAAGCGCGGCTCAGAGAAGCCAGATCTCACATGGCCACTGAACATCTCGCTTTTTCAAATGCAATATTGAAAAGTCTGTGTGCACCACACATGAGCGTTCAAAGCTGCAGTGCCACCCGCCATAGTAGGCTGCCCCTGCCTGGGCTGGAGCAGCTCGGGAGGCTTAGCTGCAGCTCCTCGGCAAGCTGCGTGGGAGCGCGAGTCTGTAACCCTAGCTCCTGGGAGGCCGGGGCAGGGGTAGCAATGGGGAGACGCTGTTGTCAAATACCTCTCTCCTCTCTTCCCTCCCCTGCACCAGTGCCTGCTCAATCTCTCTCTCTCTCCTCTCTCCTCTCTCTTTCACACACACACACGCGCGTGCACACACACACACACACCACATTGTAAAACAAGCGCCCCATAGGTTATTCAATTCTTATTGTCGGGCTGGCCCTCAGCACAGGGTGTGGAGGGAGCTGGATCCCACATGGCCGAAATCAGTTTGAATCTCAACCCAGGCAGCTTGAAAAACATGCTGGGGGTGTGTGGATGTGTACCCCAAATCCCCAGGACGGAAAGTGGAGAAGCAGGGCTTGCAGGATGACTCTGCCCCACTGGAGGGGGTTGCTTTCTCCTCTCTCTGTCTTTCTCTCTCTGGTCAGTGCACACACCCTTTGGCAATTAAAAAAATTATTAAAATGATAAATTTTATTATATATATTTTACCACAATTTTAAAAATTTTCATTCCTAGATTACCTCCAATATCATGATTTTTGCTTACCATTTTCACATAAATTTAAAAATTAGACTACCAGTTTTCAATTTTTAGAAAATCTTCCTGGGCTTTTGATTGATTGCACTAAAGCAGATCAGCTGGATAGAAGTGAGAACTATATAACATTGTTGGGTCTTCCCATACAGGAATTATCTACTTCTCTGCTAATCTATGTCTTTTTAACTTTCTCAAATAGCATTTCATAATCTCCATGCACTTGTCCTGCCTTAACTACCCACAAAGGGCCCATGGGTGGAGTGACCCTGATGACGCCAGGCCTAGGACATGGGCTCCCTTCCCCAAGGCTGCTTCGGCCATGGCTGCTCTTGGTGCCAGCCTGCCCGCTGAAGCCCTGGAGGGACCAGCCCTGTTGTCTCCAGCTGTGACCTCCAGAATACACGCTCCTATTGGCTCTCCCTCGCCTCTCTCTCTCTCTCTCCTTCTCTCCCTCTCTCTCTCCCCGTCCCCTCTCTCTCTCTCTTCTTCCCCCTCTCTCTCTCCATTCCCTCGCTGCTGCTTCCGAGTCACCTTCCCCACTGACCTGCAGAACTGGCCCTAGGTCTGCTTTGGGAAGCTCACACCAGCGTCTCACCTTTCTTTCAGGTGCAGGTTAATGGGGACCCTGTTTACTGTGGGGCTGGAATCCTGGCCCGACCACCTAATCCCTACACACCTCGGGCTCTCCACCGCCACCTTCTGACCGGCTCCTTGCTTCTAGGCTTCAGCTTACAAATGGTGGAAGGCTGGGCTGAAACCAGGTTCCCACCCGCTCTTTTCTACGGCCTCAGATTCTCAAGCCCTAGCTGCTGGGTAGCTCTCCAATGCCTTTAAGACTAAGGTAAAGGCCTTCTCCACGGTGCAGCGTGGCGTGTGGCTCGGAGAGGCCAGATCCACACGGCCACTGGAGATCCAGTCTGCCCTGAGCATGTGCGTGAGCACCCAAGACCTGACCCAGCCCCGAACCAGGGGAGCAGCTTCTCTCTCACACCTGTGCACGCGGGTGCTCTCACATGAACAAAGAACAATTTTTTTAAAATGTTCCAAAGATGCTTCAGAGGTCAGCAGGGGGCGTGGCGGTTAAAAGCACCTGGCTCCCACCGGACTGACTCGTGGCCGGAGTCTCCAGATTGTGCAGCTTGGAAAACACCCCAAAGGTGTGTTACACGTCCAAAACCCCAAAGGAAAATGGAGAAGTGGTTGCAGCCTGGCCACCCCCGGGAAGGGGGGCGATTTTCTCGCGTTCATTTGCTCTCTGTCTCTCTGTGAGCACACACGCCCTCTATCAATCAACCAATTAAAATGAGATAATAATGGTAACAGAAAAGGTGCTTCACCCAAGGTAGCCAGGTGTTCTCAGCAGGGTGTGTTTTGTTACAAGGAGCCTCAGCCTCAGTGGAAGAATCTTAGAGTTTATTCCTGGTGTGGTGCTGGTTTCCTAACAGAAAAACAAAACGGGGATTTACCTAGCAGTTGCTTCGCCCCTGGTTAACCCTATCTCTACTCAACAACACAGGGAAAAGAAATGTAGTCCAAAAACCACAACTCTGCCCCTACTTCCTACTGGGTATCACATGCGCATCCCAGAAACTTCCTGTTTGTGTTTCTTTTTCATTAAAGAAATTAGAGGGAGATGGTAGGTAGACGCCCAGGAAGACCTTCCTGTTACCTGTCCACGCTGAAACTGGACTTTGTTGTTCGTGGATCGATGAAGCCTCCGCGTTCCGGAATCTCCTCTGGTGCCGACGAGGTTGATAAATACGTGAGCCTCGGTTTCCGCCCCGAGCCTTGAGCCAGTGTACACGTGAACCTCATAGACCACCACTAAAAAGGCACAGATCTGGCATTATCATTCTCATTTTCGTTTCTCTCTTTGGACATAGTAAGATGCTCCATGAGGGATTCTGAGCACTCTCTAATCTAGTTTCGGTGAGTGTCCCTTCCGTGGCTGGCCCGCTCCCTTCCTGACGCACATCCTGCTCAAGCAGACGCCGCCATGGACCGTGTATCTCGTTCATACAGACTCCTGGCAAGTCCCAGAACTACTGCTTCAAAATCGTCATTGCTAGCAACGGTGTTCTTTCACTCACCACTGCACTTTCACCGGTATTATGAGAAGTTGTATTAAAACACACAAAAAAACTCTCCCCCCTCTTAATTAGATGAACATGGCCATTTTTCTTCCTGAACGTTGGTGATTCTAAGCTCAGCTGGTCACACAGGCTGCTACGTCTTGGAGGTGACTGTTCCAGGAATGGCATTTTTAATAGCCCTCTGGAGAGAGAGAAGATACAAAGATCCTGGAGAGCTGCGCATTTAAATACAATTTTTTAAAAAGAGCCCAGTGAGGTACCAGCGAATTATACTCCACTACCTTTGACCTTGGAATTAAGGACACTAGTTAGAAAAGGGATTGGCCTTCCCGGTGCTACCAATATGCGTAATATCTTGGGAGCACGGAGAGCCTTTCATTCCACGTTCCTAGAACTCTTTCTGGATGATACTCTTATAAGTGAGCACTTGCATTTATAGACACTCTGCTAACATTCCCCAGGAAACTTGCGCCAGCAAGTCCAAGCACGGGAACAAGGTGAGTGAGGAACATCGCCTGTTTCTCCCGTGCCTGACCTTTAAAAAGATGAATGTGGCATACCGGGAAATGGTGTAAACAGAGGAGATACAGCAGCTTCTTTCTGCAGTCTTACATATTCTGAAAAACCCCGAGTGAAAACACCCCTGCCGGGTTTAAGCAGAAAACTAGAACACTGCTCTTGGATTCAGGACGACCAAAAAAATCTCTAGAACTGCCTGTGAACGGAGGGCTGGTCTTGAGCCCTGGAACTGCGTGGGCTACACTAAACAAAACCTCAGCTCGAATTCTTCAGGAAATGGAGAAGAGTGGATTTCTTTATAGAAAAACCAAGCTTCTGCTTACTGAAAATAATAATAATAATAATTTCAGGTGAATAGTGAACTTGTTTATAACCTTTTAAAAAAAGAGGAGACTTGGAACCAGCAGATGGCATAACAGTTACATGGCTGGATTCCCTCATAGTCGACCATGGTTCGAGTCCTGGACCTGGTGACTTAAACCTCACACTGGGTGCATGTGCATACGTGCTTAAGATCCTGAGAAGAGAATGGAGGAGAAAGGACTACAGCATGGCCATACCCTCTGAGGGGGGGTGATTTCTCGATTTCTGTCTCCTGCCTCTCTCTGTCTCTCCAGCGAGTACATGCACCCTATAGCAAAAATCTCTCTTTAAAAAAAAAAAAAGTGACTTAGGGACCAGCAGTTACTGTAATGGCTATTTTGCTGGACTCCCATGTAGTTGACCATGGTTCAAGTCCCGGGCCTGGCAGCTTAAACTCATGCCAGGCACATGTGCATGTGTGCCCAAGATCCTGAGAGGAGAATAGAGGAAAAGAGATTGCGGTGTGGCCATCCCCCCTGGGAGATGACTTCTCGCTTTCTATCTCTCTGTCTCTTTCTGTCTTTCTGGCAAGCGCATGCACCCTATAGCAAAAACCTCTCCAAAACAAAACAAAAAAAAAGGTGACTTAAAATTATTAAAATGTGGGGAACCAGCAGTTAGCGTAATGGCTATGTCGCTGGACTCCCACGTAGTCGACCACGGTTCGTTTCCCGGACCCGGTGGCTTAAAACTCACGCCAGGCGCGTGTGTGTGCGTGCCCAAGATCCCGAGAGGAGAATGGAGGAGAAGGGATTGCGGCGTGACCATCCCCCCTGAGGGGTGATTTCTCGCTTTCTGTCTCTATGTCTCTCTCTGTCTGTCTGGCGAGCGCACGAGCCCTACAGTGAAAATCTCTCAAAAAAAAATATTAAAATGTGTATGAAGAAAATTAAATGAATAGTTAAAGACTTAAAAACAAGGTCAAATTAAAAATTATTTAGGGCAGAAACTGTATGTTTACAACCCAAAGAACAGCCCCCAGACTATTGTCCACACCCCTAATAAACGAAGGCTCTTGTGCCGATCCATTCTGCTACTTCTCCACAGTGTCCCCGAAGCGGCCACAAATTCATTAGGCTAAACACGTGCACAGAACAGACAACACCACCAGTACCTGCCTCTGCTACGCAAATAAAGAAAAGTAAAGTTAGAACAAGGTGATTATCACAGTTGAGCACTATGTTTTATTCTCACACCATATCAAAAAGTTAGATAGTTCATGTTGGAAGATGAAAGAAAACACAATCCCAGATGAAGAAACTGACATTTTGCTAGAATCCGTAGCATTAATTCTGTTTTAATTGTATTAGACAATATAATTCACTAAGAATTTGCCATAGTTCTGCAACAAAAAACAAGTAGTCTTTTTTAGAATGTTAAATTTATAACAATAAATTCTAACTCCAGACTTTTTCATAACCCTTACAGCAATTGAAAGTCTTCCTTGGGACCAGCAGATGGTGTTATCGTTATATCACTGGACTCCCATGTAGTTGACCCCAGTTCGAGTCCCGGACCCAGAGGCTTAAACTCACGCCGGGCATGTGTACGTGTGTGGCCAAGATCCTGAGAGGAGAATGGAGGAGAAGGGATTTCAGCGTAGCCATTCGCCCTGGGGCGGGGGGTGATTTTTCGATTTCTGTCTGTCTTTCCAGCAAGTGCATGTACCCGATAGCAAAAATCCCTCTTTAAAAAAGAATAATAATAATAATCCTTTGCTGACATAACCCAAAGGGAGAATTTAAAGGATTCTTAGTATGCTGAGTGGACGCACCCTAAAATACCATTTGTTTCAGATGAGCCTTAGCCAGGGAGTCCTTGCCTCATTCCTATTCCATGGGGGAGGAACATCAGCTGATGTTGACTTAAAGGCAGGGCCGCGAGTACCTACCTAACAAATATTCATGTTGTTGTTAAAACATGTAAGACTAGTAAATTATCTGTACCCTGAGAGAGGGCCATTCCACACACAAGAAGAACTCCTGGAGGAGCCCAATAGTAAATATAAAACGTAACTTAGAAGAAAACTTAAAATTACTCAGAATTTCAACAAATACAAAGGTGGGTTATCAGAAGGCAATGTTTCACAGAATGGAAGTCATTTTACCCAAAAATATTAAGACACAGGCATTGCTAATCAATCATTTGGACTATATATGATCTCTTTTTTTTTTCAGAATTATTTTATTTAACTTTTTTTTTGAGGTGAACACTTCAATGTTTATTCACATGCTTTTGTTTTCTCTTTTAAGAATCAAAGTTTCCCAAATTAAATCTTTCTGCTAATATTACTATATATGCCTAAAAAAGAGGGGGGGAAAAAGCAGGACTTTTTTAAAAATCAGGACAGGAAGAAGGTATTCGAAAATCATTAAATTAGTCCTCTTTGCTCCAAGTGAAATTAAGAAGAAAATGGTTGGTTTCTAACAGGGACCAAACCAAAATCCAAGCATCACTCCCACCCTAGCCGGCCCACCCCACACACCAACAGGGGAAACAGCTACAGCCCGACGTGTTGCTCTGCGAGAGCTGGGCCCACCCAGGCTCTGCGGTGGCCTCTTTGGTCCAGTGGGACTCAGCGCTGGGTGGCCTCGGGCTGTAGTAGGACCCTGCAGGGCTGGAGGGGGTCGGGGTTCAGAATCTTCTTGAAGCTCCTCTGTCAGCTCTCACCTGCATCTTCCCATGGCCTCTCCCTGGGCCAGGGCTCCCAGCAAGAGCGGTCCCTACTTAGTCGTGGGCTGGAGGCTGTCCTCTTCTCGCTTCACTGTCCCACTCTGATCATCCTCGATCTCCCCTTCCTCCCCACTGAACTCATCATGGGCCCATCTGGGGCTGGTGCTCGATTTCTAGAACATGAACCAGACTCGGCCCTGGGGATAGGCTCCTCCGCCCCAGCCCCGGCTCACCCACTTGCCACTGCCTTGCTTTTGGGGGTGTACTCTGGGTC